ACTCTCAACTCTAATCACTCCCCTACCCCTCACGCTTTCCAGATTATCTGCACTTTTTGTCATGAAAAACTCCAAAGGATTATTCAAATTTCTTTTTTTTTTTTTTTTTTAAAAAGATGACCGGTAAGGGGATCTTAACCCTTGACTTGGTGTTGTCAGCACCACACTCACCCAGTGAGCTAACCGGCCATCCCTATATGGGATCCGAACCCATGGCCTTGGTGTTATCAGCACCGCACTCTCCCGAGTGAGCCACGGGCCGGCCCACAAATTTCTGAGTGGTATTCAATTTTTAATGTGTTCAATATTTCTTAAAATAAATGGGATGTAATCACAGATTTTGAAAGATTCAAAGAGACTTATCACAAGGGTATTTGTGTAAACAGGAATTTGGAGTTTGCCTGGCTTATTCCTTTTATGCATAGGCCCCTGTCTCCTCTACCACAATGAAAATCCCCAGTCCCTATTTATTTAGTTTTGTCCTGTTAGGTTAGAATCTCCCAATTACACTCTCTCTCCTTCGGGTCATTAATGGCTACTATGAATCACGACTTACCCAACTTTGTAGTTAGAGAGATACTGCAGTTTTTAATAATAGTAAGTATCAGCACTTAAATGTAAGCTACTTTTGTCAATAGGACAAAGCAACTTATTTTAATGACATTTAAACCCAATTATTAACAAAAGAGAAGGTTTAAGAGCTGTGGCTTTGTGGCATCCTTTCCCCTCAGTTTACTTCTCCTAAATTAAGAACTTCCACTTACAGCTCCCTGAACAAACTATGCTGTTTTAAGCCTCTGTACAGCCACGTTCCTTTAGTTTTGAATGCATCTGTTTACCACTCAACTTTGTCAGAATTCCTATTCATCCTACAAAACCCTACTCAGGTGTTCCCACCTGATAAAGCCCCTATGTAATAAAGCCTTCCTCTCATCCCTATAGAAAATTAATTTATTTTCTTGGACATTTAATAAGAACTTAGATTTACAGAGCTCTTACTATGTGCCAGGCACTATGCTAAGCATTTTATCCACATTATCTTATTGAATCAAGTATTTTATCTGCATTATCTTACCGAATCTTCCACAGTACTTACCAGATGAGTACTGTTATTTATCAGCCTCTCCTTTTACAGATAAGAAAAATAAGGCAATAAATAAATAAATAAAATGAAAAAAAAGAAAAGAAAATTGAGGCTCAGATGCTGACCAGGAAGCAGCAGATCCAAGATCCAATCTCAGATCTGTTTGTCTCCAGAGCCTAAGTCTTGTACTACTACCCAGGCATCTCCTCTACACTAAGTCCACACTGGCAGCACACACCCTGGTCCCCACACACCTCCAGTTCTATGAAAACAGGGACAATATTGCTTTGACCTTGGATCCTGCCTAGCACAACAATTGGCTCTCAATATATAATGTTTGCTGATCTGAATTAGAGTTATGATAATCCTAACATGACAAATGAAAACTGACCATAATAGAAAGTTGTTTTTTCATATGCTATTCCTTTTAAAAATTGGAGACATTTCAAACAATTTATCACCAAAGTACCATCTGGCCATCCTGACTAAAGTGCACCACAGTAAGCCAAGTTTCCTAGCAACATGTATGTAATCACAATATTGATTCTCTTCACCATAAGCAACAAACACTGAGACAGCCCAGCAATATCATCCTGCTGGATCTCAGTGAGGCTGCTCCAGGACACCAGGAATTTTTTCAGGACTTGGAGATGTTCCTCAAGTGCTCTTTTGGTGGTTTTAATAAATAACCCAAATATGAAAGACATACAATGTGAGTGGTGATTTGTAGCCAATCAATAATCTTCAAAAAACATTTCTGCTAAGCACACTGTGCTTTCTATACCCAAAGTACCAAATCAAATCAGTCAGGACACCTCTCTTTTCAGGCTGGCCCAGTCTATATGATTGGATTCAAGTGACAACTTCCCTAGGGCAGAGGGCACATGCAATGATTTACTTTGTACAAATTAACCATCACCAGGTATGTATCTGCCACATAGACACTCCATAATTAAACACCAGTACTTGGCCTCAAAAGTCTTTAAAAATTTCCCCTACAAAAGGACAGAACTCAAATTCCTTGCATTCAAGGTCCTTTAAAAGTAGGCATTTCTCCTCCTAATCTACCAAGATTTTGTTTGTGTTATGTGCCCGCATATCTCTTCACCCCAAATTCTTTACACTATCAAATCCACCCATTATTTGGGACCCAATTCAAATCCCTCCTTTGGCAAGGAGACTTCCTAGACAACTTCAGGCCTCATAACCTCTCCTTCCTCTGAAGACCTGTAATGTCCAGTGTAGCACTGTCTAATAGAACTTTCTACAATAACAGAAATATTCTATATCTGTACTATATGTTGTTTTATATACAATAGCTACTTTGCTGGACAGTACAGTTATAACGTCTCACCGTCTCTTTGATAACATATTGCATTGGACGGTTAAAGCATTTACCAAGTTGCCCCAGTAGACTTTAAGTTCTGTGAACAAGACACGTCTTATTCTTCATAGCAACTTTCACAAAGTTTCAAAAAGTAAATACTCGTTGATGTGCACACCACCTCTGAGAAAACCATCAGCTAAAAAGGTGCTGGACTCAGGCGTCTGGGATGATGGTCACCCCCTCTGCCCCATCTCACATCTGAATGTCAAAACACACAGAGGCAGGGAGAAGAAAGCAACTTTCTGGAGATACTAATCAAGTCACAAGGCACTCTGGTTTAAATGACATTTTGGTTATGACTGCCCTTCACCTAAAACTTGTCTAGACAAATATATCTTCCCATTAGCAAATAGCTAAATTCTGATGGTAAATTATGCTGACTAAATACAGTTAAATTACCTCCCAAGTTAAGACAGAGAAGTCAGATAGAAAAATAATTAAAACTTGTCTAGACAAATATATCTTCCCATTAGCAAATAGCTAAATTCTGATGGTAAATTGTGCTGACTAAACACAGTTAATTACCTCCCAAGTTAAGACACAGAGAAGTCAGATAGAAAAATAATCTAGACCAGTCCTGTTTGTACTTCTTTTTACAACTGTTTATTGAATATCTCTCTTGGAGTCTTTCAGCCTATTGCTGGTATTTTACTGTCCAGAGAAGTGTATATGTTAGAATTTCACTGACACTTTTCCCAGCTGAGCCTACACTCATTCTAAATCAAAACCCAATACTTAAGCATCAGTAGTTAAAAGAACAGAAGACCCAAGTTCCACCACTTTGGCACTCTGCTGCCCTGGGCAAGTGTCTCGGCCTCAATTTCCTTATCTACAAAATGGGGCTAACGTTATGTGAACTACCTACTTCACAAAACCCTTTGTGGGTCAAGTCATAACCGTAGGTATTTCTAAATGGTTATTCTTCCCAAATGAACTACATATTAGAAACAAAAGATTCATGAATTTATTAATGGTTCTTTGCGGTGGGTGTGCTAACAAAAGCACACACTAAAATCAATGCTTCAACATCTACAACTTTCTTTCCCCCATCCCACTGTGCAAATGCTTGAGCAAAATTTCTGCTAGCACTCCAATCTGGCACATGTACCAAGAAAATAAATGTGTTGACTCAGGGAGCAGAGACATATTTAATATAAAATAAAATAGAAAATTGGCTGAATCAAGTCATAACGCAGTCCAAATCCACATATAAAAGATTGAGAAGATTACTGGTTTGCTTTATTCAAGCCAATGCTTTATCAGCACAGCCAGCCAAAAATTTACAACCCATACACAGAATAAACCCTTTAGATGTACACAATAAAAACCAGCAGGTACACACTATGTACATCCACGTTTAATAGGAAAAAAATGATCAACCACTGACTGTATCAACACACATACACCCACTTGACATAACAGAGTGATGTGTTACTAAACACGTAAAAAGCAACTAGGGTGACAGTTTGAATTTTGTTAATTTAAGTGCAACCACACCCCCCAAACACAGGTAAAGTTTGCACACATGGCTTCGCCAAGGCCAGCCTGTCTTTGTTTCCCTCTCCTCTGCATTTACCCAAGATCTTGGCTCTGGTACAGCAAACTCCCACTCTCGATTGGTTCATTCTGTCCTATGCAATTAAGCAACACCACAATCCAGTAAATGCAATGGCTCAATTATTTAACTTCTGGCCGAGTTTACCAGGTGTTCATAAAAGAACAACGTCAAGGAGGAATTTATGGTGAGAAAATAATGCTGCTGTACGAAGAGGTTTATTTCTATCTAGAACTGGCTGGACGGGGGTTTTATTTTGTTTTGTTTTTTTTGCAAGGGCGGGGGAGAAGCACGGCTTAACCTAGAAAAAGATGGGAGGGAATTTAGAAAGAATACAAGTCTGTCGATTTCCCTACAGGAAACTTGATTCTTATGCAATGATACTACCCACAAGCAGCCAGCCCGTCAGGCTGTAGAGGGAAGACACCTATTCCTGCCTCCAGAGGGGCACAGCCGGCTCCTCAAGGAGAGGGAACAGGGCAAGGCGGAGGAAGTGGTTCAGCCGGGAGCCGCCGGTCCCCGCCAGCGGAGCGGGGAGAAGGCTCTTTCCAACCCCCCCCCCCAGTGATCTCCGCCGGCGTGACAGTCACTCCTGTGGCCGGAACGTCCCCAGAGCCCCAGGCAGCAGGAAGTCGGGGGCTGTCCCTCACTCCTTCTACTCCAGCCTAGTGTGCGCTGGCCCCACGGGCCTCCCCCTCGAGCTCATTCCCACTCTTCCTCTGCATCTCCCCTTTCTCCGCCGAACGAAACTTCCTTCCAGTGCCCCCTGTCCCTTCCGAGGCCCGCTCCTGTCATCCCAGGGAGTTGTGCCTTCAGAGCGACCTCCAAGTCCCCTCATTCCCTCCGCCCCACTGAAATGTACGTTTACAATTCCCCCCAAACACCCCAGAGGCTCCCAGCCCCTGCATCGTCCCCTGGGGTCCCCAGGCCTGGGGACCGTCGGGGGAAGCGGCCCCGCCCTTCGCCCCCTTCACCTGTTTCTCCGGCTGAGGCCCGACAGGCCGGGGCTGCGCTTGCGCGAGGTGCGAGCGGCGGGCTCCCTCCGACCGCGGGGCCTCTCCTAGCCGACGCCGAGAGCGAGCAGAGCGGGGCTGCTCGTCAAGGATCCGGCTGGGGCTTGTTCCGTCCGCGGCGACGTCGGAACCCCGCTCTCCCTCCCCGTCTAGGCCGCCGCAGCTCCGGAAACCACTGAATTACAGCCCCTCCAGCCAATCCCCGCCCAGCCCCCGCCGGGCCAAGACACGCCGCTCATACATAATTCATAAGACGGCCAGCTCGCTTGGCCACCCAGGGGTCCTGCTGCGCGTTCTGTGTATCCGAAACCCCACCCACTGACCAATGAGAAGAGCCACGAGGAGAAAGGGCGGGGCCAAGAGAAGACTGGGGACGCCCCTGTGCTGGCTGTTCCGAGAGCTTGGTGCTCCTCCTTCCGCCAGAGCAAGCGAGGAGCCGAGGCCTTGAGGACAGCAGCCCGGGGG